GGGGGAGTTAGATGCTGGTCTCCATTGACGATCGCCATCAGAGTTGACCCCTTGCGGGCAACCTTGAGGTCGCAGGTTTGATCTTTAATCATAATTTTTTTTTCCTTTGATAGTAGTTATTTTATAAGAATATGAACCAAACTCGGACCGAAATAGTTCAAAATTTAATGTTTTGGAGTTGTTTGAACAAAATGTCATGTTTTTTTATAACTTTTTTCACCTTTCTTACATAAAAAATATATTTTACTTAATAATATCATTCCAGAGTTTGCTTAATATTTTTTGGACTTGAATAAGGAATATTCACATAAATTTTCAGTTCGATTCGTCAATAACTTTCCGATGCCCGCAAGTTGAAAAGTTAAGCATTTGTCTCTGTAAATCAAATCTTTTTCGGGAACTTGACTCGTGAATTGAGTGGCAGGACAAATCTTTAAAAATTATTTTTCTAAAGTTTTTCTTTGGATATCAATCATCAAGCTGATGACTTTTTATCGGGTCACGTAAAGTGACAGCTAGTTGTAAAGAATAACTGTTGAAAGCGGCCTCGGTGTCCTTTTGGACTCATAGCTAAAGTTTTTGATCATATTTCATTGATGATTCTGATTTAAAACACATTGGGGCAAAAAATATGCAACTGCAAACAAAGCAATTTATTGCCTTTCTTATTAGAGATGAGAAAAATCGGTGCTTCCATGCAAAGCATCAAGTACTACTTCCGTATATCGATCAAATTGAACAGACGGGTCTTCGGCAAATTCACGAAGAATATATGCATTCCGGGGTTCAGGCTCTTAGTCTGTTACGAGGGAAAAATGTTGGAACGATAAAGCCATTGCGAGGAACATCATCCACAGCTGTGTAAGGTGTGAGGAGGAAGGATTGGTTGATGAAACAGAAACTTCCTTGTGGAGCGGACTACAAGGTCTAAAAGAAAATGATCATCAAACATACCCCATCAACTTGACATCCTGCCGCACTATAAAAGCGCTGCCTATTCCGCCTTAGCAATTTCAATCCTGCTAATAGTGGCATACACCGTTCGAAATGGATGGATGAAAATTTAGAAGAATTTAGCCGCACGAAGAAACACACCGCATACTCTAATTCGGCTCCGGTTCCACGCAAGCCATTTGGGCTCAACAACTTGAATACAGTCTCAGTCGTCTGCTGCATTTTGCTTATAACCGATAGCAACTGAATCAATTCAAAAGATAGAGCCTTAAACTTAAGACAACCGGCGAAAGCTCTGCGCAGAAAAGAATGAGACGCTTCTCCTCATTGCCTTTGGCACTTGCATAGCTTTTCTTGGTTGTGCCTCCATTTCAACCGCTTGTCCAATGGTAGCCTTATACTCAAGCGCACACAATTGTTTACTATATGGAAGGTTAGGGTACTTGTTTGTAAATAATAATAGTTCTGCTTTTTTATCCCGAACTGGCAGCTGTTTGAGCAGTGCGTTGAGCGCGCTGAGCGATTGTGGGACCATTTCATTGAAAATGATGTCAAGATCTTCTGCTTACGCCACTATTTTCTTGACTAAATATGTTCCACAGAATAAAAGCTAGTGCGTCTTTTACACCCTTGGCGAGGCTTGATGAGTCAGCATTTTACACTTACCAGCAGACCCTAGTTGAACTCACTGGAATACAAGTGTTATGTCTGAAGCAGAGCTCGCAAATTACTGTCGACCGTTTCTCGTTGTCTGCAAATAAGTGTCTTCTCCTGACCCTTTACGAAAAGACTCGGAGAGCAACCGATTTATGGGTTCTTGAATGAGCTCGCTCGCTCAGAGCGAAACCATTTATTTCTATTCTGTTTGGTTCTGGTTGTTCCAAGACCGTTTTGTCGTATTCAGTTAAGCAAAAGGTCTTTTTTTCGTTAAGCGTCTGTTTTGCAGATATATGGAATATGGAATCAAAATGGAACTTGTTAACAAAAATATTTGAAAATAAATTTAAAATTCTGTATCAAACAAATTATATTATTTCTTTTTAGCAACAACGAAAGTAAATGTGAAGACCGTTTGCATTGAGTTTTTCGGTCAATTGGTCTTTTGCTGACTCTCATTTTGCGACCGTTTCTCATTCCGCCCTTTACGCACTGCTCATTGAAAGAGCGATATACAAAGATCTCAACGAAAAGCGCTCAACAGAAAACATAAATGAAGACAGCAAGAGTCTCTTGCTCAGAGCGAGAGCGAGAGAGTATGAACTTTTTCGGTTGTGCTCGCAACGAGAGCGCAAGAAGAAAAACGGTCAACAGTTATTTGCGAGCTATGGTCTGAAGTGTTGTTTCGCCTCAAAAAACACAGGAGCTCAAAGAAATCTGCCAATCGATAGTTGACAGCCGGAGAGTGCAGACGTGTTTTGCGCGAGCTCCGGAAAAAAACCGCTCAAAAGTGGAAAACAATAACTAAAAATACTGGAGTGGTGTAATAAAGGCAATCTTATTGCTAAAAACAGTAAATAATAATTAGTGCTATGTATAAAACTAGTGCAAAGTTATTATAAAAACTAAGAAGTGCCACGAGTGATAGCTCAATGAGCGGCGATTCAAAAAATGAGAGTAGAAGCTCCGTAGACCTGAGAAACAGTTATATCTCTTATTTCTCAACCCGTGATACAGAAGTAGAAAGAACTTCTTCAAAGAGCAACTCAGCCCTACTGACCATTGACAGTGCGAGAGCACGGTCTTGTTCTCCCGCCATACTCACACCAACTCCCACTTAATGGAGCTTGCAGTGTAGAACCCCACCCCCAGCTTCGACTCACAGCTCACCAGCCAGGAGCACTGCGACCTGGTTAATTTCTGCAACCGCAGCCACTGTAAGAACAACATCAACGGTCGCCGTTAACAACAACGCGATTTCGAATGCGTCTGCAACTTCTGCAGCGCCGAATAAAACTACAAAGCCAATTGTAAGTACGAGTGCCAATATCGGCAATATCAAACAACAGCAAGTGGGTCCGGCTATACAGACTGGCATGGACCGTTACATCCAAATCAAACGGAAGCTAAGCCCGCAAAATAAAATGGTTGGAAATAAACCAAAACAAAATTGCCCTAAGGCAGCGAACAACCAGGGGCATCTAGTAACAACAGATTCGCCCTATTGTAGGAAATTTATAATAATCAATCCGAATCTGGACAGGCTGTTCAAAAGAAACCAAAGCCCCCACCAATTTACATAAGGGAACAGAACTCAAATGCCCTAGTAAAGAAAATTTTTGTGCTGGTCGGGAATGACAACTTTTATGTTACTCCTCTTGTTAAAGGGAATATTCACTGATTTACTGATTGTCTACTGATCTTGCTGGACTGACTCCTTGTGATCGACTGATCCTGCTTCCTGCGCTCAGCCCGCTTTTATAGGCCGGCGTATCCCGTTAGTTCTCGGCTTCTCCTTTTTCGGTTTTGCGCACGGCACCATACTCGGTCCAAAGTCCGTCGCCTTCTACCGTTACACGTTCTCTCCAAACTCTCTCCAGCCGTACTCTCCAAACTCTCTTCTTGTTTCTCTCCAAACTCTCACCAGCTGTATTCTCCAAACTCTCACCAGCTGTATTCTCCAAACTCTCACCAGCTGTATTTCTCCAAACTCTCACCAGCTGTACTCCTCCAAACTCTCTCCAGCTGTATTCTCCAAACTCTCATTCATTTGTGAGGGGTTATTTAACTCCTCACATTCTCCCCTTTCTTCAAGAACGAAATGAGACTTGCCCCTCTTCGGTTATTTTATTTGGTTATTTTATTTGTTATTTTGGAGTTCTTCTTGGATCCGCGTTTCTGGATCGCTGATGTTGGTCCTCCTTCCCTCGACGTCGCTCCTTCTCGTTCTATGTAGTTCCCGCCCGAAGATTTTTCCCCCATAGACTTGATTTTCTTCTCTCCGGCTGTCTTCCTTGTAAATCGTTGTAGCCTTCGAGTCCTGTTGCTCCTTCAAATGGTTCCCCCGACGCTCACAGCTCGTACCTGAGTTCCACAGCGCCGATGTTCCATTCCTCTTCCCGCCCGAGATGTTTCCCCCATAGACTTGACTTCCTTCTCTCCGGCTGTCTTCCTTGTAAATCCTTGTAGCCGTTGAGTCTTCTTGCTCCTCCAAATGATTCCCTTGACGCTCACATCTCGTATTTGAGTTCCACAACGCCGATGCTCCATTCCTTTTCCCGCCCAAGACGTCTCGTGTTCTCCTTCGCATCTCCTTTGAATGTCCCGCCCAAGATGTTTCCCCCATATGCTTCGCGTTCTAAGCATTTCCTTTCCTTCGTTGTTTGGTCACACTACTGCTTTCCCGATCGGTTTTCCAGCCGATCTCGATGATTTGAAATAGTGCAGCGTTGCCATTCGGTGGTGGCGATAGTTTTTAGTGTGACCCTTCATGTGCCGTCATCTCCAGTGTTCTGTGCCCATCGATCGACACTATCGTCTAGTGCCAATCGACCGCTTATAAATCGAAGCGCCCCATCCCTTTATACGTGCAGCGTGCTAGGAAATTTTCTCCGGTAAGTTTTCTTCTTTTCTCCTTGCTTTCTCCATTCTTACTTTTACTCTCTCTTCCCCTTAGCCTTCCCCCACACGCCTCTCCTTTGCCCTCGGCCGCGGCCCTTGGAGGCGTACCAGGACAGGCAGAACTATCACCGCTTCTTCGATTCCCCCCGCTCAGCGGGCCGGCACCCCTCATCTCACATGTATATCACAGTGAGTACCTCGCCGCTTCTTCTTGGTGGGCCGAACTTAATGCATTTCTCCCTTTTTTTTCAGGTTTTTCTTTTATGCAAATATACAACCCCTTTTTTTATTGTGTTCTTATTTTGTGTGTCTTTGAGTGCGTTCGTGATGTTTACCCCGTTCACCCAGTGCCAAATATATTTTATTTTTAGGTTTGTGTTCCTTTTATTGTTTATACACCCTCATACCTGACGGCCCCAGCCGTACTCGGAATCGGTGTCCGCCCCGTTGCACCAGGACACACTGTTTCCCGCCCCTTCGTCGCGCGGCTAGAACCGCCGGTGCTGCCTCGATCTCCGAGGGCCACTCCTGCCTCCGGACCTCCATCCACCGCCGCTCGTCGGGCAACGACACCTGCCGCAAAAAGGAGGCCTGACGGTGCCGTCCGGCGCGGAACTCTGCCTGGCCAACTTCGGCCTTCCTCCAGGCACGGGATCGGGCCACTCCCACGGGCCTTTCTCTATAGGTTCCTCCTCCTGCGCCGACCTACCGCCGTCTGCCGATAGGGACTCGGCCGAGGTCGGTGGTGTCGGCGGGGTCACGTGGGCTTGTCCCACACGTAAGCGGGGGTCTCTGGGGTTGGGTGGGGGTTTAGGTGTCCCCTCCGCATCCTCGGTCGGCGTTGGTCCTTCCGGCCAGGACCACGTCACGGCATGTTGCCTCCAAAGGACCCCTTGTACCGTAAAGGAATTTAGGGCATGGCTTACGTGGGCCATGGGTATCTCCGTACGGAAACACCGTCCTTGGGGCCCGTGCGTGTCCTGCTGTTCCTGCCTACCCTCTGGGGTTGCCTCCTGGGGTTCCTCCTCGCTTCCTTCTCCGCTGTGGGCCTGTCCGGGCGGAGATGGCTCGGCTGGGTTCACCCCCCTCTTGCTGCGACGCGGGTGGGCTCGCCGGTGGCTCCTCATCCTGCTCCCAGTAGAGCGGGACATGACGGGGCGTGGGTGGGCGGATGGGTGTCCACTTTGGGGGGGCTGGCACCTCCTCCTCCCCTTCGTCGGGCAGGTAGCGGGGAGTGGGAGGGACTCCGAGCATCCCGGGCGAGGCTGGCGGGACCTCATCCATTAGGACGGGTCCTGCCCAGAGACGCTCCCACTGCGCCTCGGCATACCTTTGCCGCCGCCTTGCTGCCTGCTGCCTCTCTTCCTCCTCCTCCTCGGCCTCCCGCTTCCTCTTGGCCTGCTGTTGGGCCTCTTACATGGCCGAGTGGGTGAGCTCCCGCTCCCCATGCAGCCCAGGGGTGCTGGGGTCCCCGGGTAGGATGCTACCCATCATGGGGTCCACGGCCCTCCGGAGCCGCCACTGCCTCCGTTCCACGGCCGGATCGTCCACCATCTCTACGTCGCTGTCAGAGCTGATGGTGAGTTCTGGCTCTGAGTCCTCCGGCTCTCTAACCAGCTTCAGGACCCGCCTCGAGGTTCGGGTAGGCCGGGTGACAGGCGTGCGCCTGTCCTCCGACCATCCTTGCCCCGGGTTGGGCCCCGTCGCAGTTTGGGCAGCCATCCTCCTCCTTGCCTCGGACCGGGTCAGACGTGTTGACATTGTTGTTTAATGCCCATCGATACCCTCCGACACCTCGGTTTTCCCCGTCTCCCTTTCCACGATCCCGCTATTTCCCTCGGGATTTCCACCTTGTTCTTTCATTGTGCCGCATGCCGTTATTTTCGGTCCTGCTTGGCTTCTTGGCATTTTCTTTTCTGTCTGCAGTCGTTTGGCTTACTTTGGGTCCTACGGTACAGCTCCGCTGTGCCGTCTCTCCCCTTTCTTCGGCCGACATTAGGTTTACATATATATTTTCCAACCGTATAGAGTCTTGCGACGCTACGGGCTGAGCTATCTTTTTATTATTTGTACTGTGTTTGTCGTATCATTAATAAATTATTTACCTATTATTTATTTTACTTGTTGTTGTATGTGTTTTTTTTTTTTTTATAGACGTGGTTCATAGGCGGATGACTCTGGCGTATGCCCGACGATTAATCCGTCTGCCCCGTTTTGATCCTTGTTAGCCCTTCCTTGCGTTTTCCCTGTGCTACGCGGCGTATAGGTGGATGACTTGGGCGTATGCCCGATGCCGAATCTGCCTGCCTCGTTGCATGTGTTCTGTCCTTTTGTTTTCATTGGGTACCCTATCTACGCGGCGTATAGGCGGATGACTTGGGCGTATGCCCGATGCCGAATCTGCCTGCCTCGTTGTATAGGTCCCCCCCTTTTTTTTTTTGTTACACCTTATCTACGCGGCGTATCGATGGATGACTCGGGCGTATGCCTGACGCTGAATCCGTTTGCCTCGTACTCGGGGTCCCTAGCATCGTTTGCATTTATTCCGTGTCTTATCCTTTCTGCGTGGCGTATGGATGACTCTTGCTTCGGCCTGGTGCCTACTCCTGTTGCCTCGCAGTCTGTGAACTCCTTGTCCTAGTCCTCCGATGTGTCCGCCGTCTGCTTTTGTGCCGTTTCTGTTTGTTGCTGCTTAAGCTCACCAATGTGAATAGTTCGCTCTTTCTTCGAATGTGTGTGGCGTATTTTGCAGATTACCGGCGAGACGAAGTCTACAACCTGGTAAGGACCATCGTACCTCGGGGCTAGTTTCGCCGCAAACCCTTCGGCAACTTTGGATAGATGGTGTTCTTTGGCCCACACTATGCTGCCCACCTCTGGTGTCCACTGCCTCCTCCTCAGATTGTAATGTCTGGCTTGGTCCTGGGATGCTTTTTCCATATTTCGCCGTACGATTTCGAAGATTTCTTTTAACTTAGCGGCCTTCTCGTCTGGGGTCTCTGTGTTTCTCCCAGAGCCTAACGTTTCTCTGTCATATAATGCGTTTGGCAAACGGGGTTCCCGGCCTTGTGTGAGAAACGCTGGGGAGTATCCAGTTGATTCAGATATGCTTGAGTTCACTGCTAGCATAATCTCTGGCCAGTTCTCGTTCGAAGTTCTGTGATCTTTTCCTGCGAATTGAGCTATCATCGTCTTCACCGTACGGTTAGCCCGTTCTGTTGGGTTTTCCTGCGGTGAATTGTTGTTTTATTCCCATTTCGTTAAGAAATCTTTTAAAGGATCGACTGGTGAACTGTACTCCGTTGTCGGTTATCACTATCTTTGGAGCCCCGAACCTTGATATTATGCGTTCTCTGAACGCCTTCTGTAGGGTCTCTGCCGTTGCTGTTCGTAGTGGTACAATTTCCGTCCATTTAGAAAACCGATCAACTAACACCAATATCATTTGATTTCCATGCTTTGATCTAGGCAGTGGCCCGACGAAGTCCGCACATACTGTTGCCCATGGTTCCTCTGGTACCTGAGTTAGCATTTTCCCTGCAGCCTGCAGCTGATTGGGCTTGTATTTTAGGCAAACTTCACACTTGCGTACGTGGATCCTGGCGTCTCTGTGCATTCCTGGCCAGTAGTATCGGCGTGCTATTGTTCTTCTACTCCCAACATGGCCAGCGGATGGGGAGTCATGGTTTTCTTCTAGGACGGCTTGTCTTAGACCCTGCGGAACGAACAGTTTCCAAGCCACGACATCTTCATAGCCCGCTCTGTGAGGAATGTGCCTATATAGTGACTCGCCTTCCATTACATAATCTGGATATTTTTGTGGTTGTGCTCTTATTTTCTCCAACATTCACCTGATCCAGCTGCAGCTATTGGTAGGTTCTGATGCGTCTTTTATGGCCCTAAGTGTCTCCGGCAACGGTTGTCGGGATAAGGCGTCTGCTACTACGTTCAGTTGTCCTTTCCTGTACGCTACCTCGAAGTCGTACTGCTGTAATTCCAGGGCCCATCTTGCTATCCTTCCGGACGGGCTTTCTATGCTGTTTAACCACTTTAAAGCCATGTGGTCTGTAACCACTTTAAAATGGTAGCCCTCCAAGTACGGCTTCAGCTTCCTGATTGCCCACACGATTGCCAAGCACTCTTTTTCAGTAGTGGAGTAATTTTTCTCCGCGCCGTTCAGTGTCCGGCTTGAGTAAGAAATGACCCTTTCGCCGTCCTCTGTCTCTTGAGTCAGGATTGCACCTAACCCATAGTCGCTGGCGTCCGTCTGAAGGATGAACCTTTTCTCAAAATCTGGGCACGCCAGCACTGGATCGGCTACTAATCGTGCCTTTACCTCTTCGAAGGCCTGTTGGTCTTCCGGCGTCCATGTCCACTTTGTGCCTTTGCGTAGAAGATCGTTCAGTGGTCTAACTATACGCGCAAAGTCTGGCACAAATCGTCGATACCATGAGGCTACGCCTAGGTATTGCCGTAGTTCGCGTACTGTCGACGGTGGCTCTAGTTCGGCTATGGCTGCTACCTTCTCGGGATCTGTGCCTATCCCTTCGCTAGTAACGCGGTGTCCTAGGTAAAGCAATTCTTGCTTGAAGAATTTGCATTTATCGGCGTTTATTCTCAAATTTGCTTCCTTTAGGCGCCTGAACACTTCCTTTAGGTTCTCCACGTGTTCTTTCAGTGTGCGTCCGATCACAATGATGTCATCTTGGTATGCAAACGCGTATGGTGACATCTCCGGGCCGATTACCTGATCCAGAGCCCTTTGGAACGTGGCCGATGCTGAATGTAGTCCGAAAGGCATTACTTTCCATTGGAATAAACCTTTGCCGGGTACTGTAAATGCCGTATATTGCCGACTATTTGCTTCCAAAGGGACTTGCCAATATCCGTCTTTCAGATCTAGACTGCTTATATATTTTGCCTCTCTGAGTTGGTCCAGGATATAGTTGATTCGCGGCATCGGGTAGGCATCTTTTATGGACTTCGCGTTTATTTGTCTGAAATCCACGCATTGCCTCCACTTGCCCGTCTTCTTTTTCACCATCACGATGGGCGAGCTGTATGGACTTCTTGAATGTTCTATGAAGCCCATTTGTAACAGCTCATCCACTTTTGCGTTGATCTCTCCTTGGACTCTTGGGTTCTTAGGATAATACCTCTGCTTGATTGGCTTGTCGTCTTTCATGGTGATTTGGTGCTCGGCCACTGTAGATGTTCCTGACATGGTGCTGAAATCTGCTAACTGTTTGGCGAGGAATTTCTCAATGTCCTCTTCATCACTTAAGTGTGAATCTACAGCCACCGACAGCCTTTCTTCCAGACATCCATTGTGCCTTTTCCTTGCCGGTATTTGCAATTCATGCCCGGCACATTTTATTTCTGCCCCGACTCCTGTGAGGAAATTCCATCCCAGCACTAGTTCGTCCACTACTCCTGGAAGTATTAGCAGATTCATCTCCAATTGTTTGTTTCCAAATTTCACCGTGATTTCGAGCTGTGAGCTTATCCGGCTGCATCTGCCGTCTGCCAACCTAACTTGCCGTCTTGTCCTTGTGATCATTCCTGTGTCAGTCAGTCTATCCGCTAGCTCCTCATTGATGAAACTTGACGTTGCTCCAGTGTCAATTGTGGCCTTGTATGCGACGCCTCCAATTTCAACGTACGCGGATAACTGCTGCTCTTCCTCGATCAACTTGCCAGTTAGTTTGGAGAGGAGACACTTTGCGACCCCTGTGCGCCTCTCTGCGACTGGGATCGCTGCCCATTTCCCGCCTTTTGGCAGCACTCTACACTCCTGATGCCAATTTTGCCGCACACCCAGCAGAACAGTAGTCTTTGGTTTCTGCATCCTCGTGCCCAGTGTTCGTGTCCTCCACAACGGCGACATGCCTCCTGTGGGTTCATCACGTGGGTCTGTGTATTGGTGGCTCTTGGCATTGGGTTGCGTGCCACCTGAGTGGTGTTTGGTGGCCTCCATAATGTGTTCGTTGGTTGCCTTTGTTGTGTTGTATTGGCCGGTGTCCACTGGCCAAAGGACGGTGTTTGGTTTACCGTGCTGTCTTCACATCTCCTGCATGTAGTTTGTGGTGGTGCTGCGATTTTGTTTCGAGAGAACTTGTGTTCGTGA